GTAACAACCCTTTTGCTTCCCCTGTGCTGTTGGTTAAGAAGAAAGAGGGAACTTGGTGGTTCTGTGTGGATTGCAGGAAGTTAAATGAAATGACTATTAAGGATAGGTTCCCAATTCCTAATGTAGATGAGTTATTGGATGAGCTAGCTAGTTCTGTCTATAAAACTAAGCTGGATCTCACAGCAGGATACCATCAGATCAGAGTTAAGCCTCAGGACACTTTCAAGACAGCTTTTCAAACTCACTGTGGACACTTTGAGTTCCTGGTCATGTCTTTTGGACTCACCAATGCACCAGCAACATTTCAGTCATTGATGAACTAGGTATTCCAACCCTACCTGAGGAGATTTGTATTGGTTTTTTTGACGATATTCTGGTATATAGTCCTACACTAGATGCTCATATACAACATTTAAGGACTGTACTAGAGGTATTAAGGAAGCACCAACTCTATGTGAAGAAGTCTAAGTGTGCATGTGCTCAGAAGAAGGTGGATTACTTGGGGCATACCATTACTGATAAGGGTGTCGGCATGGATTACTCAAAAATTAGTAGCATCCTCCAATGGTCTGTTCCTCAATCAGTCAAGGAATTGAGGGGCTTCTTGGGTCTCACAGGGTATTATAGGAGATTTATAAAACACTATGGCCTTGTGTGTAAACCACTCACAGAACTGTTAAGAAAAGATAGCTTTAAGTGGAACAGTTAGGCACAAGAATCCTTTGATCAATTGAAGAAGTTAATGTGCTCAGTTCCAGTACTTCAGTTACCAGATTTTCAGAAACCTTTTGTAGTGGAGACATATGCTAATGGGGGAGGAATTGGGGCAGTATTAATGCAAGAGGGACATCCCATTGCTTTTTTGAGTAAGGCCTTATCAGCCAAGAATCTGGGACTCTCAATTTATGAGAAGGAGCTCTTAGCTTTAGTTATGGCTGTCACTAAATGGAGACATTACCTAGTGGGAAGTCATTTCATTATAAGGACTGATCATCAGTGAGTAAAGTACCTCTTGGATCAGAAGCTGAACACTGCCATTCAACACAAATGAATGACAAAGCTATTGGGATTGGATTATAAGATACAATATAAGAAGGGAACTGACAATCAAGTGGCAGATGCGTTATCCAGGAGGCATGAATCTACACCCTTGGAAGAGATGGGATCCTGTCTAGCTATTTCATCTGTCAAGCCTGGATGGATTGAGGAGTTGCAGAATAACTATGAAGGTGATTCACGTTGTCAAGATATCATGAGCCAACTGGTTCTAGACTCCAATTCACATGCTGACTATACCTTGTTGGATGGGATCCTGAAGTACCAAGGAAGGATCTATATAGGGAATGCCAACAACATCAGGAACCAGATAATTCAGACATTACATGACTCAGCTATAGGGGGGCACTCTGGTCAGAAGAACTGTTGGCAGAAACTCAAGTCCCTATTCTATTGGCCTGGTATGAAGCAGGAAGTGATAACCTATGTGCAAAACTGTGATGTCTGTCAAAGGAACAAATCTGAACATGTTCCTTACCTTGGGTTGTTACAACCAATTCCAGTACCTAAACGAGCATGGCTTCATATCTCTATGGATTTTATTGAGAAACTCCCTAAGTCACAGGGGTATGATACTATTCTGGTAGTGATTGACAGATTTACTAAGTTTGGACACTTCATCAGGCTTACTCATCCCTTTACAGCCAAGAGTGCTGCTCAGGTCTTCCTAGACCATGTTTACAGGTTACATGGCTTACCAGAGTCTATCATCACTGATATAGATAAAGTATTCACTAGTGTGTTCTGGAGGGAACTTTTCAAAGTAATGGGAGTGGAACTAAACTATTCATCATCTTATCACCCACAAATTGATGGGCAGGGTGAAAGGCTAAATCAGTGTGTTGAGAGTTACTTGAGATGCATGACAGGGGAACTTCCCTCACAGTGGAGTAAATGGCTATCACTGGCAGAGTGGTGGTATAATTCCACTTATCATTCTAGTCTGGACATGACTCCTTTTGAAGCTCTGTTTGGTTACAAACCTATACCACTGCCCTTAGGACCCTATACAGATTCATTGGTACCTGTTGTGTCCAATATGGTTCAAGAGAGAAGTAGAATCTCAAGTTGCATTAAGGAACATTTAGCAAAAGCTCAATAAAGGATGAAACATTATGCAGATCAATACTGGACTGAGAGGAGCTTTTCTGTGGGTGACTGGGTGTTCTTAAAGCTGCAACCATATAGGCAACAGACTATAGCTGTGAGGAAGCGTCTCAAATTGTCAGCAAAATATTATGGACCATTTCAGGTGGAAGAGAAGATTGGGGTGGTAGCTTATAGGCTTAAACTACCATCAAAGGCACGACTACATCCTGTGTTCCATGTCTCTCTATTAAAGAAGAAATTGGGACCACTACACAGCTGCTCCCCTAACCTACCGGAACTAGATGAATATGATCAATGTCCTTTGAAACCAGAAACCATATTGAAAAGGAGGGCAATCATGCGTGAAGGGAGGCCTGTCATTCAGTTCCTGATCAAATGGAATCATCTGAGCTATGATGAAGCTTCTTGGGAGGACAAGACTTGCATTGAGAATCAGTTTCCTGAATTCCAGACTTGAGGACAAGTCTGATTTCATGGGAGAGGAATTGTTAGGATGGCTGGTAATTGAATCAGGGATTTGTAAATTGGGAAAGGCCAAACGATGTCATTTTGATTAATTAGGATTTAAAAGTCAGTTTAGTCGGTTAGTGGCTGAGTCATCTTAAGACAACTTGCTCAATATACTTCTCTGTTGGCCTGAGCATGTTAATACATAATAATACATAGCAAAACTGATCGTTCATAACATATTTATAAACATGGAATTCAATAAATCTCCATTTAAATACATATCAACACATCAAATTTCAAAGACATATGCATCATTAAGCTCAAGACACAAGATTCCCCATCGACTTGAATATCCAATGTTAATCAGTTAACAAGCTTCCCAGATAGTTGCTAGCTACTCCGGTTAGTGCGGTTCCCAAATGGTTGCTAACTACTCTCGTTTAGCGCAGTTTTCAAATGGTTGCTAACTACTCCTGGTTATCGCGGTCTACTAGATATTGCCAACTATAACTCGGTTGGCTGCTGTTGAACTAGTTCTACCAGTAGTTATCTACACCAAGAAGTTGATCAAAAGCATACATTTCAAATCATTTATACTATTCGTGCGTGGCCACATTATTTCATATATTCTTTTTTTTTTTTGGCTCCCATAAGATGCAAGGAGAAAAACTTGATAAAGGAAATTCTATGAAATTCAAATCTAGCCAACCACATTAATGTTGACACTATAATCATAATATGAGATAATTGAACATAATTGTAATACACTAATATACTACATAATTTTAAATAATAATAGGAACATAGATGTATAAAAATTGATATTGAGATTAATCAATAACTAATGTAAAATTATGCTTCTAGATATATATATATATATATATATATATATATCATATTCATGATACAAACAAGGCAGAAGAGATTTTGTAAGTATGTAGATCCATTCATATAAGGTCAACTGACCACCTTCCACAGATTAATATAATGTTAATCTTTTGATTGTTGAGTGACTTCAATGATTTATAAATTTGTTAAATGTATGATTGTTTGATTACTGCAATATGTCAAAGTCTTGATATTGTGCCACAAATCTAATAGGCATATGTAGTAATGTAGTATATCAATACAACCAAAACATGACTTGACATGTAAAATGAGAGAAGTAGTATCTATGATATAGATATCCAACTAACTTAAACATTCACATTACTTGCTAGTCATATCAGATTATTGAAACAAATCCGAATGAACTGCATAGGTAAATTAGAGTAAGGGAGATTCTAACTTATGCCTAACCAAAAAGATTGTATTGTAGATGGAGTATTACAGGCTATTTGTAGGTTAGATTAAGGACCTTATTGACAAATATCAAATCTCAAGGGTTTCCTTCCATTAAAGAAATATTACTATGAATCATAATTTGTAATAATATATCTAACTAATTAATTGATTTGAATAATTGAAATATTAATGAATATAAAATATCAATAAATCATCATTAATAGGAGATACTAATCAATCATTAATGAAATGTCAATCAATTAGTTAGGAAATCAATCATTTGGGTTATAATTACCTATAAAATGAAGCAAGTCTTACAACTAAAACATACTAATGGTCAAGTCTAGAAAGTCAATGTAATCCTCTGTGGAACATGTGGACCTTTCCCTAATTTGTATATGGTTGCGAGGTTTTGAGCCAAGAGATAAGTTCCCGTTTGGATTGGTGCTTTTTAGAGTTTTTAATTTATAAAAAGTATACTGTAGTAATTTGATATATGTGAGATAAAATATAATTAAAAATATATTCACAAAAAACATAATAATCTTTTGTTAGAAGATTGTAATCCGAACACCATCACTGAAAATTAGTTTTAATTCCAAATGCTATTGTGTTTATTCTTTTTAAAATTAAAGGTGAAGACAAAAACTTATAATGCATTAGAATGATTTTCTGATCGTTGAGATTTTCTTGCTTTTTTTAATTGACCCGTGTTTTTCCTGCCGAGGAAATTTCTTTGAAATCTAATACAGTCTGAAAGTTGCAGAAGTGTGCTCATAATTGACTTAATAGTTGGCATTGCTCATAATTGACGTTTGCTGGTAGTTGACTTAATAGTTGACTTGATTGCTTATCAGTCATAATTGACTTGACTGCGATAATGACCTTCCTAACTGAAACTCTGAATGGTGCAATAATGCCCTTTCTAATTTTATCTGCGATAATGACCTTTCAGATCGAAAGGAGGTACACGAAATTATGTGCTGACTTGGTCTAAAGTGACTGCCAAGAATTTCCACCAATTCTGTGCAATGGATCAGTATCTTGAAAATGGAATGAAGAGAGGCTCTTGCATAATTTCCATACTATCTTATCATAAACCAATTGAAAACATGCCTCCACCCTCAATGAGGGAATCCTTTGTTCTCCTACTTGCTTGCTGCTTTGGGGTTTGTATTGCATTAGATACCATTACAATCACTCAGCCTATCCAAGACTCTGAAGCTATAGTTTCCTCTGGCCAAAAATTTAAATTAGGCTTTTTTAGTCCTGAAAAAAGTAGTGATCGCTATGCCGGAATAATATATAATCTACCCGGAACAGCAGCCGTTATCTGGGTGGCTAATAGAGAAAGACCTCTGGATGATGCGACGGGAACTGTGGCAATCCTTGAAGATGGAAATCTTGCTGTCTTAAATGGAGCGAAAGACATACTATGGTCTACTAATATTTCAAGTTCTTCGGCGAATTATAGTGCACAACTCCTGGATACTGGGAACCTGGTCTTGACAGAAGAGTCAAATGGGAAAGTTTTGAGGATCCTACAGACTGTTTTTTGCAAAACTCGAAATTAGGTGCCAGTACAACCATGGTTCGCCATATCGGCCGATACCGATACGTATCGGCCGAGTCGTATCTGGAACGGAAGAGATCGGTACGATACCGATCCCCAAATCGCAGATATCACCATATCCGCGACGACTCGCTCTGACTCGGCCGATATTGACCGATTCGAATCCGTGATACATAATATCGGTCGATATATCCGAATCAACTCGGAGTCGACTCCGATATTTTTTTAAATTGTATCTTTTTCAGTATTTTCTAATTTTAGTAATTTTTTCAAAATTTTTGGAAACTTTAATGTGTTATAATGTTCATATCACTCGATATTCAACCGATATGCCGTGACGGATAAGGAACAACTTAGACCGCGATGCGACCACGACCCGCGATGGCGAACCATGAGTACAACAGGGTCGATCCAATTAACCTCATGGAGAAGCCTCTCAGATCCATCTGTTGGAACTTTCTCTGCAGGTCTCAGTCCTAACCAACTTCCTCAACTCTTTATCTGGAATAATGGTAGACCTTACTGGCGGAGTGGTCCATGGAGTGGTACTGCATTTATTGGGATAGCCGGCAGCCTTCTGCAAATGATCAAGGAGTTGATGTGTTGAAAGACAATTCCGGATCTCCATATCTTACTTACAACTATGTTAATTATCCTTTTTTTTTACTATATGTTGAGTTCATCAGGGCATTTACAGGCAACGTTTTCATCGGGTGAAAAAGGAGACTGGACCGTAATCTGGTCAAGTCAAGAGAACCAATGTGATGTTTATGGAAAATGTGGACCTTATGGGAGTTGTAATCATCGGGGTTACCCAATTTGTACATGCCTGCCAGGTTTTAAGCCAAGAGATCAGGAGGAATGGAATCAAGGAAACTGGACAGGTGGTTGCATAAGAAAAGAATTGCTGCAATGTCAGAGAAATGAATCTGCCAGTAGAGAGGACAATCAATATGGATTTGCGAACCTTACATACATGAAAATTCCAGATTTTGCTGAGCCAATAGCAATTAATACAGAAGAAGAATGTCGTGAACACTGCTTAGACAATTGCTCCTGCACAGCCTATGCATTTTACATCGGCATAGGATGCATGCAATGGAGTGGCATCTTAATCGATTCGGGGCAGCTTCCCTTCGATGGGACAAACTCATATATTTGGGTGGCGTATTCTGAACACAGTAAAACAATTTCCTGCTCTTTTTCTTCTTGTTTCTTTATTACCTTACTCTTTATTGTCATGTTGGTTCAAATTACGTATATTATGGTTTGATTCCAGCTATATTTCTTGATTAAGCACTTGAAACTATTAAATTTGAAATTCCCTTTTCTGCTTCTAAAGTATAAGAATATTGGATTTTGTGTTTCTGTAAGAAAGAAATCACAATGATCACAAGGAAGGCTTATACCTCTATACTTGGTAGTTGAAAATTTTGCGTAGGTGCTTTAAATCCTTTGACATACAAATACAGATGCCAAAAGGGGTTTTAAAGTTGTCATTGCAAGCACACTGACTGTAGCAGCTGTACTCCTTGCACTCTCTGTGTGCCTTCGTTGGAAGTGGATAGCCAAGCACAAAGGTAATTCAACAGTGCTTAAATGCTGCTTAAGTTTTTGAGATTGGTCATCATAAATTCACTTGTTCATAAACAGGGAATGAGCAACAAGCTAAGGTATCACGGATGGAAGAAGTAAATAATGTGGAAGATATGGTTACTGTAACCATGAACCAAGCAAAGTATGAAGAGCTACCCCTTTATACTTATGAAGAATTGGCTAACGCAACAGATAATTTCCAATCAAACAAAAGAATAGGGAAAGGTGGCTTTGGTCCAGTCTATAAGGTAAACTAAATTTGGCTTGGCATAGGTATTTTAGGTTGCTAGATATGTGCTTGGGTAGCATTTAATGAGATCAATTAGCAGGGAATGCTGTTTGATGGCCGGGAAATTGCAGTAAAGAGGCTTTCAAACTCTTCAACTCAAGGGATTGAGGAGTTTATGAATGAAGTCGTGCTTATTTCAAAACTCCAACACCGGAATCTCGTTAGACTTCTGGGCTGCTGCATTGACAGAGAAGAAAAAATGCTAGTCTATGAATATATGCCGAACAAAAGTCTAGATGCCTATATATTTGGTTAGAAAATCAAGACCTGTTTGCATTATATAACTTGCTTGCATACCATCTAAACCGAGAACATAAGGATATTTGTCATGTCTAGAGTCCAGAGAATTAGTAAAACAGAAAAATATAGTATATTGTAGGTCCCTACAGAAAAGTAACACAAAAACTCGGGTGTGTTAATTTTACAATATTAATGTTACAGATGCTAATAAACCAAGCTTACTTGATTGGAGAAGACGTGTGATCATTGTTGAGAGTATTGGTAGAGCCCTCCTTTACCTTCACAGAGATTCAAGACTGAAAATTATCCATAGAGATCTGAAAGCAAGCAACATCCTCTTAGATGAAGAGCTCAAGCCAAAACTATCAGATTTTGGTTTAGCCAGAATTTTTGGAGGCAATGATGATCAAGCCAATACTAACAGGGTCGCAGGAACATAGTAAGCACATATTTGGTTTCTTGCTGTCATTTCTACGTCATGGATAATTCAGACTGCTTTCTTTCCCCAGTAAGTTTTAACTCTTTTTTGCATGAATGATGCTATGACAGTGGCTATATGGCTCCAGAATATGCAATGGAAGGAAGGTTTTCAGAGAAGTCAGATGTCTACAGCTTTGGAGTGCTATTATTAGAGATTGTTAGTGGAAGAAGAAATACTAGCTTCTATAATGATGAGAATGAAGTGAGCCTGCTTGGACATGTAAGTGTATTGATTTATTCAACTGATATAGTATCATGACTCAAGCAAAGTTCCTCATCCTATTCTTTGTTATTTAAACTCCATTCTTGATTGCGATATCACAGGCCTGGAAATTATGGAATGCAAATGAAGCGACAAAACTGATAGATGCAGCAATAGTCAATTCAGGCATCCAAACAGAAATGCTGAGATACATCCATGTAGGATTATTATGCGTGCAGCAATTTGCAAAAGATAGGCCAGATGTCTCTGCTGTTCTTCTGATGCTTACTAGTGAAATTTCAAATCTCCCTCGTCTCAAATTCCCTGGTTATACAGGAAGATTATGTTCCTCAGAAAAGTCTTGTACCAACAGGGTTTATTGCAATAACAACATAACCTTAACAACTGTTGAAGTCCGATAGGCCAATCCAGTGCATATTGTTTTTCGAAAGTACAAAAGCTGTAAACCCAGGACATGAATGATGTTTGAAATAATAAATCCTTTTTTGCCTTTTGTCATGCGTAGTTAAAGAGTACAGGTGATTTGCTCAAATGCATCTAGTGTGCGCAAATTTTCTTTAGATCTAATATAGATATGTACCGCTTTGTATCCTTTTCTTGTGGTGCATATTTGTAAGTCTTCACTTTTACTGAAAATCCGTCTTAAGCTGTATGGAATAATCCAATTGAACTTATTTAGACGGTCAGTTCACTAAGTTGTTGATTTACATGGTTTTACACAGTTCCCTAAGTTCTTGACTTCTTTCATCTTTGATCCGAAGCCTCCCATTTGCATCCTTTGATATATCTCTGAAGTGTCATGCTAATCCCATCTATAGATTCCTTACCCTTCTCTATAGTGTGCATTGTAGTAGCACCAAGGCTCCTCTTATTCATCATTGTTGCAAAGTGTTCTTTGCTGAACTTCAATATCTTCAAATATGGTTCAAATTTTACAATAGCAAGTCAGCTAATAGGGAAAGCACCATGGCACTGAGAATTGGTCATGATATTCGACCTAAGATAACAAAAGAAAAAATTGTTGAAAATGCCTTTGACATTTAGCCAAAAGAATTTTTAATCTTTCATTTTTAAAATGGTAACTTTACGTTAAATTAAGTGGGTAAAATTTGGTTCCAACCCGGATTTTCAATCACTTTTTACGCTGAATCGCTGAATCTATCACGTGATTCATATATGATCATTTTTTAAGAATAAAAACATTAGATTCCAAACAAATATTCTGATCTATATTCATTTTTGCCCCAAAAATAGTAGAATCTGATCTGGACCATAATAATTTTTTTTTGTAGAAAAGTAGGATCTAACATAATTGATAGGTCACAATTTTGTTATTTATTTTAAAATTAATTCCCTCTTATTATCTTACCAAATGACAGGTTGTCAATGCCTGTGCAATAATAAAAATAAACCTAGTTGCCAATTAAAGTAATCACAACCCAATTTTAAGTACTGGAGCAGGGACTCTAGATATACAATGGGTTACTTGATTCACCATGTTTCCGAAGAGTTTGCTTAATCCGATATACCAGAATGAGATTGCTTATTCACAAGGAATTATTGAATTGTATAAACGGCAAGTAAGGTCGTCTCTTCAGGGACTGGAGATATTTGTCTGACAGGTGTCGAGCCTATACAATAATAATAATAAAACCTAACCACCGCCAAAAGCAGTCAATAATCAAATACTAAGTACTGAAGCAGGGACTCTAGGTGTGCAATGCGTTATTTGATTCACCCTATTCTCGAAGAGTTTGCTTAATGCGATATATCAGAATTAATTATCTGACTAAATTCACTAACTAGTAGAGAGTGGCAAGCAGGGTCGTCTCGTCAGGGATTGAGGAGAAATTTGTTTCCTTTTGCGTCAAGATAAATGGGGGGTTTTAGGATTAAATGCTAATGAACTAAATAAATCAAATGTGAAAAATTAATTAATTGACAAAAATAATTGGGGAAACTTTAGCCAAAGATACACTTCAGTAATGGTTCATGCAACTGATCATTGATTCAAATATAATTTCAACATTTATTAATAGATTGGTTATAGCTGTCATACACGCGATAAACAACCAGTTTTTCCTTACTTTTTCGATAGTCAAGGTACGACTGTTAACTATTTCTCTAACCAGGAAACAACCCTAAGTACGACCGTAGGATTTAATTTCTAGATTACATTAAGAATTAAAAAAACTCAATCCTAACTAACAAACACGCTACGAGAGTTTGTTTAAATTAGATCGTATGTTTTTTTGATATAAACCCAATTACACCAGGTGCTACCGGGATGGAGGTAATCGAACAATTACGGATTCAACTACTCCCAATTAGCAAAATAGTTTATGTGAATAATTAAATATTATGCACTATTCAATCATACACAAAAGTTATAACAATTAAAAGCACAAAACATATAAATACCAATAAATGAAAGAAACAGTTAAAATAATTTAGATCTCACAGCAATTGCCGAATCAAATCTTCAGTTGTACCCTTAACTAGAATACGGAGATTTAGCTACACATTCTCAAGGGAAATTCGCAGGACTCCCTTGATAACCCCTGGTTCCTTCTCCAAAAACTAACGAAAGTAGACAAAGAAAAGAGACAAGTCACGGCCGTCCTCTCAATTCCTATTTTGTAGCTTTTTGAGGAAAACAAAACTCCTCCCGAATTGTTGCTGGCCGAACTCTTAATCACGCGGGATTCGGCTTGCTCTTTCTATTTTCTCGTTTTCTAAGGGAAACAAACTCCCAATTGAAAAAGGAAACATTCTAAAGAGATAATACTTAATTGTTTCCTAATTCAACTCTATAACTAACAAAGATAATTAAAGTCTTTCAAATTCACCAAAGATGTCCATATTTGACTCGAACTAGGAAATCTCCATGCGCGACAAATTTCCGAGTCTTTTGGACTTGAATGTAGGTCTCAAACGTACCACCACCAAATTAGCTGGAAACTGCCTCTTTTAATCATGTTTTGGTTATTTTCCTACAATTTAGCACCATTAACCAAATATAATTAGAATCAATTAATTAAAAGAATATTTGGCTAAAATCAAGAGGAAAATAATTATAAATTTAACAACAAATTATGACATATCAATTTCCCCCATACCTAAACCATGCTTATTCTCAAGCATGAGAACAACAAATCAAGCAATCAAATTCAAACAATGGCTATTGCTCAAATTTTCTATTGCCAAGATACAATTAAAACATATGTCAAGTATTAGTGGCAATTTTCAAGAAATATCTCTTCAGTTAACTTTCAAGATCAAGGACTCTTTCAATTTATAACTAACTAATCTAAGAATATAAAATATTCAACTAACATTAAAATGGTTCGATTATTAAGCAAAATCTCAACATTAAAATTCATGAATCAGCGGACTAACAATTCATTCAAACACTTCCACATTTTTCACTATTAATACATTTTTTTTCTAAAATATCCCCACACTTGATTGATTTTTTTTTTTTTAGGGGGAATGCTTAGTTTTTAGCCATTTAAGCGTTTTGACTCGAATTCCGATATTGGCCAAATGAAGGAACCCGGTTACTCAGCTCTCATCGCTTAAAAACCACATACTCATAGCTGAAAATCAACACTTATGGTAAAGACCTTCGGTTACTAGGCAACGATACTAGTGGAGTATAGCCGAATACTATTCATAAATAAGCACCAAATTAAAATTAAAAATCACATAAACCCACTTCATTTCTTAAATATGGAGAACTAAGATTAATAATTGAACCAATTTGCATAAAAAATATTAGACAAATATTTATCATACTTAGCAAAGTTAACCACAAAGTGCAAAAGTTACAAAATCTCAAATATTCACCAAAAAGATACTAGTAGATTTAACCATATTATACTTAACACCTTAGAGTGTAAAATCATAGCAATAGAAAAATTTGAGACATCTAACTAACGTTAATCAGGAACAAACACAAGAATGCATAAACATAGGCAAAAATTGGATAAAATTTGACAAAGTCAAACAAAAAATTCCAACAAAAATGCCTACGCTTGCACTTTTCCAATATATTATCAATATACTACTCCCCGACACCTAAATCTTACATTATCCCCAATATAAAAGATAAAGAATAGAATACAAAATAAAAGGGACAACGAAACTTCCCTAATAACTGTAGGGGCCGTGTACAGTTACGAGTGAGGGGTAAATGATTGTGGAGCTCGACGTAAGTTGATGGTTAGCAGCGGTGGAGTTCGGATGGAAGAAAGAAAGAAGAAAGAAAAAAAAGAGAGCAAGAAAATGGAAAAGAAAAGGAAAAGGAAGAGAAAAGAAAAAAAAAATTTAGAACCACTGCGTTAGACGTGAGCATGCCTAACTGCCCTTGAGTCTTCTGACTAACCCATGAAAATTAAGATCCTTAAGCGTGACCATCTGGCGTGGGCATGCCTAACTACCCTCCAGGTGGTCATGTCTAATGATAGGGTATTAATTGTTAGTAATTTTATCGTTAATTCTCCTCTTTATCCTTGCCAAATATTGTTTTAATTGTCAATATATATTTATATTTGGTATTTGGATATAATTTCAGAAAGTGGAGCAGAAAAGTGCTTAAAAAGGGACCTTCTTGAGAAGATTTCTCCGCACGTGAAAGCTTCTAAAAGCTTTCCACAATCAGCCCAAATTGTGCAAACCAACGGAATTGCTGATGAAGAATTGAATTGATATGATGAAATTCACTAGCAATAAGAAATCAAAGCGGGGACCACGTAGAAAGTTGAGGAATTGCTTTAGACATTTGGTTCCTCTTTTGGGAGATGCAATTGATTAGCTATGGCTGGCATTTGATCAGGAGATTACTTTTCCAATTGCTCCTACGACACTAACTAGTGCTCCAATAAAATAAGAGGATACTACTACTAGAAAAGGGGGCTGGTTGATAGATAGCGGGAGCTTCTGGCATCAGACCAGTTTTCTCTCTACGAAGGAGTAGATAGGAGCTTCGATTTTTCTTTCTCTTGTTATGTGGTGTGAAGATTTCTTCAGTTGGTTTGTTTTGTATTTTTCTTCCGTCTCTTCCTTTAGACTAGTTTCTTTCATGAAACTAGTTCTATTTCATTAGACTATGGAGAATCAATTTTCATTTTAAATTACTAGAAAGAGTTATTTATGTTTTTGAATTCAATTAAATTGTGTGAGAATTTTATCGTGAGGCGTGGCTAATCTTCTCATCTAGTCAAGAATCAACGCGACGATGCAGTCCCAAATATCTGTGAGATTTAATTAATTTTACGTGTTCCTTAATTTGTTAATATTTGCATGTTTTCTATTTTAATTTTCATGGAATTATTTTGTTAATTGGATATCAAGGGTCCGATGTGCAATTTGACTTATTAATCTCTTGTCAAATTAATCAATTAAATTCGTAATTATTTAATTGGTTAATATAAGTGGCAACTAGTATTTTCACATACTAGGGGAACATGCAATCTGATTTAAATAACCCTC